CCTCCACATGGGAGCCTGGATGCGTGGGCTGAAATCGATTTGTAGCAGAATCAGCAATTTTTTTTTTTTTTTTTTTGGTTTTTCGAGACAGGGTTTCTCTGTGTAGCTTTGCGCCTTTCCTGGAACTCACTTGGTAGCCCAGGCTGGCCTCGAACTCACAGAGATCCGCCTGGCTCTGCCTCCCGAGTGCTGGGATTAAAGGCGTGCGCCACCACCGCCCGGCTCAGCAATTTTTTTAAAGTTACTAAATAACTTTAAAACGAACATTCATTGAACTAATCTGACAAAATAGCGTTAGTCCAAGAGAAGAGCTTGTTCCTTAATTGATTCATTAAAACCCATTGGGTCTAATAAGGGAGATCCTCTGGGAATGGGGAAGGTGTCGTCTGAACTGAGCTTCGGTAGGAACTGAGAGATAAGGACCAGCCTTTGGGAGGGACCCAACATGCTACGTGGGGACCCGCTCATCTTCTTCCCGAAGTGCTCTCAAACTGTGTCTGCCTTCCCCAGTTGGGAACTGGAAGATCACATTTCCTTGCTGGAAGGATGACAAGGCTTTTTGTTTGTTTTTGTTTTTATTTTTGTTTTTCCCCCCTTTGAGAGGACAGCATTTGCTCTTCTTTCTTGAGGCCAAGATCAAACTGACCTCTTTGTTCCACAGTCTTCCGCTGATAAAGGAAACCATTCTGGTCAACTAGCTTTTCCCAGCCCCACCCCACCCGAGCAAAGGAACTTCCTGCAGAATCTAGCGCAGACCTCCTCTCCAGGGGATCCCAGAGGCATGTGGGGTGCAAAAGTGGATCCCAATCTCTGCCATGGCTCCCAGGACTGAGCCTCCGGCACTTACAAAGTCATATGTGTGTGTTATGTGTATCTTTCTCTACAAATGTCTCTCTGTATTTTTAAGAAATGGGCATCAATTGAGATTTCTCCAGTTCCTGGAGGTCTCTAAGAAACTATAATTGTCTAGATTTATTTTCCATTGGCTCGTCATATCAGCAGATGATCAACTGATTGATTTGGAAGTCAAAATAAAGCTTATACTAATTCTTGGCCAAAGGAGCCCTGGTAATGTGTCCTCACATTTAAGTTTACGGATCTGTGAAATGGGTTCATTTCCTTCTCCAGGTGGTTTCAAGGGGTAAATGAGGCAGTGTAGATAAGGTAATTCAAGTAATTGACAGAGCCAGGCCTGGTGGCTCATGACTGATTCCAGCACTCCCAAAGCCAGTCTGGCTACACAGTGAGTTTCAGGCTAGCCTGAACTATGCACGGTGTGAGAACCATGTCTCAAAACAGCACAATGTCAAAATCCAATGGTTTATAAACAGGAGCTGTCCTTCATGCCACTGTTGCTGAAAAAAAGAGTTAACACGGCGCACCTAGATGGGTTTCAGAATAGAAGGCGGGTTAATCGGAAGGTCTTGCTGCACATCCCTGTAAGTGGATACTTTCCACAGCCGTGCACAGCTTAAGTGGGATCAGTCACCTGGTGGTCAGATGTTTCCAAGTTCCTGGGGGTGAGACAGTTCTGCTGGGGAGCCCAGGAATGCAGCCCGATTTCCGGGTTCAAAAATCACACCTGTGAAATTCTATCCAGGTGGGAAATTCTTCTGCTGGAGCCTCCTGAAGCCAGCGGTTCATTACCAAGTCATTTTCCCAGGTCACTCTGAGGTCACCTCCTTCATTAATACCACAGTCAGGGGGGATAGCCACCCAGGTCAGCTGCCCAGGCTTTGCCTCAAAATCCACAGTACCACCTCTTTTGTTGGACCAGTTACTATACACCAGGTCCCGCGCATACAGCCCTATGCGCCTCCATCTGCGGAAGACCCTCTAACTACTCTCCTGGGTCCAGCTACAAAAAATCCAGCAAAAGGCCAGAAATTCAGACTTGGTAAAGCCCAGTCATTCATCCAAAATCACAGCCAGCTGGTGAAAGAACCATTCCTGGTCTTTCTGATTCTGGTACCTGTTACCATCAGGCTAGACTTCACAGAAGCCCATTAATACCATTTTACTCTCCCCTGTCACGTGTGTTCACACCGCATCAGAGAACCAACGGGGTTTAAGAATCTCGCTTTTCTCACCTGCTAGGGAAGCAACACAGCCTGTGGTCACATATCAGGTCCTACCTGGTAGATACCTCCATGCTATCCAGAATATTCTCCCAGCCTGCCTCCTATCACACAATTCCTTAACCCCAATGTCTGCTCAAGACGCAATATACTATCCCGGTTTGTGTGACTTCTCTAGTTTGGCCAAGTGTCCCCTTTTTTTCTGAAACACCTGGTTGGAGCAAGAGTGCCACCTGGTGGAACCTCTGGGTCACTGCCAACATTAATGGCCGTGGTGGGCAGGCTAGCGGGATGAAGTTTCTGAAGGCTGAATAGTTTCGTGAAGGCTGAGTAGCGCTCATGCTTCCTGGACATGTTCCTAGACAGCTCCAAGAACTTGCTCAGCAAGGTCCAGGTCCTGATTCCCCTGAAACTGACAGGTGTTGCTCAAATACAGGTCTGAGACCTTGAGGGGGTACATTCCTCAGGTTCAAAGCACAAGGCTGGGATTAAGACAGAACCCAGAACCATGCCAGTACGAGACTGTATTCCATCTTCCTAAACATTTTTCAATGTTTTTCATCATAACCTTTTGGTATTCATTTTAATGTTTTAAAATATGGCTTATCTTGTTGCAGACTTTGGAAAAGCACTCTTTCTTTTTTTCTTCTTTGTGTGTGTGTGTGTGTGTGTGTGTGTGTGTGTGTGTGTGTGTATGTGTGTGTCCAAATTAAATGCCTCCCTTGCCTTTTCCTAGTAGTGACCCTACCGAACAAAGCCCTCTGGAAAAGATTTCGCTTCTTTGTAAAGCTCCTGCTGTACACTAGCAAAGCACAGACCTTGTGTGTCCGCACGCCCATCTTCACGCCTCCTGTCTGACACTGGCCTGGATTTACCCCTCTCAGCAACACACACCTCCTGTCTGCTTGATGCCCAGGCTCAAGTCCCCAGCGAGTACACAAGCCAGCAGTCATGCTGGGCAGTCACTCAGGACTGATCTGGCAAAAACACCACACCACCATGGCAGATTGTGGCAGATCACTGCTCCTTTGGCTGTCAGTGGCTTTGTCCAGATAAAAGATGCTTCTACTCTGCCGTGTTCAGGACCACCAGGCCAAAAACCCAGGCAAAGACTCCTATCCACACTATGCCCTCCCCTGACATTGGCCACAGGAAACTGGAGTCTGTCCTGGTACATCTCTAAGAGTCTCCATACAGCCCTGTGCCTGCTGCACTGGATCTCCCTGTTCTCCATCAGGCATAGGCCAAGTAGGGAGCTACCAACCTAGAATGTATGAATGGCTGGCAGTGGGGGTGTCGAGAGAAGTTGAGGTTTTATACAACAAGTATTTGTGTTTTCTGGGGAGATGGTTTATCATGTCCTGCCTACTTTCCAGGAGAGCTCTGACCTTTACCAAGCAAATGAAAAGCTGCCCTGACACAGAGACCCAGGCATTTCCCAGTGTGCAGAGTTGCAGGCGGATGGGGAGGGAGCTCTTCCCGACAAATGGAGTCTCAGCAGCATGATCCATGCCCATCTTTGCTCCCCACTTGCCATTTCCAGTCATCTCAGTCCTGCTGGGGTTCTCAAGCAGAGTTCTTGGAAAGCTGTAGACTCTCCTCAGGAACACCCATCCACCCCAGAGCACCCTGTCTTCTGCAAGATGGTTTCTGGGCCAGCCCTCACTGTGTTTCCAGGCAGGGTTTCTCTGTGTAGCTTTGGAGCCTGTCCTGGAACTCACTCTGTAGACCAGGCTGGCCTTGAACTCATAGAGATTCGCCTGCCTCTGCCTCCCAAGTGTGGGATCAAAGGCTTGTGCTACCACCGCCTGGCAGGAACAAATATTTGTAATATTCTTTTCCTAGAAACAGATTCCACCACCATTCTCAACATTTTCCAGATGAGGAGTGATAGTCATGTGGGTGGGACACAGCCCAGCTGGGCCCCCTGGAGGGGAGTAACACCCAGGCCACTCAACCGTCAGGTTGGGAGAACACACAATGCCCACTTTGCAGTTAACGGCTACAGGCTGCCATGAGACTTAACCTTTGCTGATTTTTGTAGCTCCCTGTTTGCCTCCACCCATACTCAGAGCACCCAAGAGAGAGACTGCTGGCTAGGGGAATTCTCAGGAGAGAGCTGGCTGGCCATTGGCTGAAGCCAGCTGACCCCCTGGCAGGGCCTGGGAACCCCACAGCTTTGTTTTTAAAGACCCAAACAGGAAACCAGCTGACTCACCTTACTTCTACATCAGGATAAAGAGAGTTGGATTTCATGACCAGAAAGGCTTCCTCCGCGGAACTCAATGGTTAGCTTTATTCTACCTTCTTCGGCCAGAACAAAATTCATAAGAAATCTGATAAGGTCGTGGGTTGACGGCTCCAACCTCTGCTTCTCCCAAACACTTCAGTGGACAGTAGCTCAAGGCAGGAGGCCTACCCAGCAGGCTTATGCCCACCCTGGAGATGCCTACCCAGCAGGCTTATGCCCACCCTGGAGATGCCTACCCAGCAGGCTTATGCCCACCATGGATGACTGAAGCCCTGCCCCCCAGAGACTCACTGAAGCATCACACTTGCCCCAAACAACAGAAGACATGCCTGTGCTTTGCAGGATGGGGTGTCTCACTCCATTTTGGGTCCTCCTGGCGGTGGTGGTGGTGGTGGGGTAGCCTGTAAAGTTTCCTCACACTAGATTCTCTTGTCCCAAAGCCTCTGAGCCCCCGGCAGCTGCTGACACCACTTCCCAAAGTTGTGGGTCAGCTTGCGTATGTGGAACCCAAGGACTCGACCAGCTGTGGGTAGGAGAAATCGTTAGACCTACCACGGCCACCTCTGCACTGAATAGCCACAGACTTCTTTCTTGTCTGCTTTCTCTAACACATACAGAAGAACAGGAACTTACACAGCATTTACATTGTTTTGTTATATAACATAATATCATTCGATGTTAGAGGAGATTTAAAGCATGCAGGAGAACACACACAGGTTATTTCAAAAAGACACCGTATTTCATTTGTTTGTTTGCTTGTTTATTCAACTACTTATCTGGGATGGGGGTGGTCTGACAATGTGGTCCACGCTGGGCTTCCAACTCCTGGGCTCAAGGGCTCCTCCTCCCTCAGTCCGCCTAGTGCTGGGACTCCAGGCAGAAGCCTCCACAGAGGATGGTGAAGAGGCTGCAGATGTGGCGTGCACAGGGGTCCTGTTTCCCGGAGAGGAACCTGCAGAGACTCGGTGTTTATCTGCACTTCTGTAAGAAGCAATTGGACCCTCTCCTGTCCCCTCCTCTGGATGACAGTTCTCTCCTCGGAAGAACACAAAAGCCCACAGAGAAGGATGTGAGGAGAGCAGCCCAAATTCAGACCCAGGCCTGGGGAACCCCCTGGTGCTACTCTTCCTTGGATGCTCAGGCACTTCCAGGAACTTGGGTGACAAATGGGCCACCCAGCCCTGACCAATGGTTTTCTGTATGTCCTCTGCTGCTCTCACCGGTGGACCAGGCCTTAGGTCTCTTTCTGTTCCCTTTCCTGTTGGTGAAGGAGGTATTTATGGATTGATGATCGCCTCAAAACCTAAAGTCAAGAATATTGGCCGGGCGGTGGTGGCACATGCCTTTAATCCCAGCACTGGGAGGCAGAGGCAGGCGGATCTCTGTGAGTTTGAGGCCAGCCTGGTCTACAGAGCTGGTTCCAGGAAAGGCGCAAAGCTACACAGAGAAACCCTGTCTCGAAAAACAAACAAACAAAAAAAAAAAAAAAAAAAAAAAGAATATCCACCACTTTCAAAAGGTTCTCTAGCCAGGCCCTTTATCTTATAGTCAGCGCTTACTGTGAATCTCCAGGTAGTTGCTGCCCTTGAGAGGCTACAGGCTTCTTCGATGGCAGAGCATCTTGGTGCTGGAGTTTGGACTTGGGGGTGGGGGGCGAGTCTGATTATAAAGCTGTCTCCTCATCACTCGGGTACCCCTGGTGTTTCAGAAAATGACCTGGGGAAGGTTTCAGTGCCCGAGCTCATGAATAGGGTCACCTAAAAACAAGGCCAAAGCCATCCCTGGGAAAGTTGTACCAGCAAGTCAGGGTCGTCTACACTATTCCTGGCAGAGTTTCAAACACTGCCCAAGCCCGGCCCTCCTTCCTAAACTTCCCTCCACTTCCTCCTAACTGTGCCCTGCGCTTATCAGCCCTATACACGGTACATTCCTTCGTGTTCTCCATTTTTCTAGTCCTAGGACAGAAGCACAGCATAGCTTGGTGTTTCTGAGGTTATGTGCCACTGTTACAGTCACCACAATTGTGTCCAATGCTGACTAAGTCTACACACCACTGTAAAAGACACACAATGTTAGGGAATGTTAGCATTCAGACCCGCCCCTTGGGGACCCACCCAGCATCCTGACCACACCATCTTCTGTAAAGTCCCCTTTAAGAGAAGACTCCTCCCTCTTTTCTCTCTTCTTTCCTGTCTCCATCTCTCTCTTTCCATGAGGCGGCACACACCTCCACTTTCTCTCTCTTTCTCTCTCTTTCTCTTTCTCTCTCTCTCTCTCTCTCTCTCTCTCTCTCTCTCTCTCTCTCTCTCCCTCTCTTTCTCTCTCTCTCTCTCTCCCCCTCTTTTTCTCTCTCTTCCATCTCCTCTCCCCTTTAATAATCAAACTTTCCACATGGATGCCATGTCTGCCTGGTGTAACTTTCCACGGTGCCACGCCACCGCCCGTCACGTCTGCATGGCATGGTTGTCTTTTCACCTTGGCTCAAACCCGCCAAGGCTGCCACACACCATTTTACAACATACTGCACCTCAGAATCCTTTTCAGCACAGCCTTCCAGGTAGCCACTGCCAATCAACCAACTTGATCTTGACCTGAAGCCTATGTGTATCATTAGCACAGCAAGTGACCCATGGCATTTCATTGCCGGCTGCTTCTAACCTTCCTGCCTGGCTCACCTGGTGTTTCTAGGAAAGGAAGGAAGGAAGGAAGGAAGGAAGGAAGGAAGGAAGGAAGGAAGGAAGGAAGGAAGGAAGGGACGAAGAGACTGAGGAAGGAGAAGGGGAGACTAATTCTCACCCTGCTGAGGAACTTTAGTTGGGAACCACACTTTAGTCTGTTGACTTCATTCAGTTACAAAACTCACTCTTCATGGGCCTGTTGAAGGAACTGGTGAGGTTTGGGGCTCATTCCAAGGCCGGGAGCCTCCCCTACGTCAGCACTTTGGGTCTCACTGAATCTCATTTCCCTTCTAACAGGCCTGAGCTTGAAGCTGTCCCTTTTACCTCCCACTTCCGCCTTCTTTTTAGAGCTCCAGCTGACAAGAGAAGTTTCTGGTCCCACTTCCCTCTTCTCCCCACCCCTCCTCCACCCCCATCCCATCCCCACCCCCCCTTCCCCACCCCCCATCCCACCCCCCTGGATAAAGAAGTAACTGGGATGACTTTCTGCCGAGTGATAAAACACTCCTTGGGGGTCTGGGAGCCCTCGGGGTCCTTACCGTGTGCCACACACGGCTGCGTTTCCGCATCAGCCCATGCTGCAGCTCTGGCTGAGGACACATTTTTCCAAGGCCTCTCCAGGAGCACTGGGTTTTGCTTCTAAGTCAGTTCAGCTACGGTGCATCTGGATACTTTTCTCGGCCAAAGACCACTCAGTGTTTAAGGAGAGGAAATGATGAAATGGTCGAAGGCCCTTCTTAAGCAGCATTTTTGGTGGTCTGAAAACAAAGAAACCAAAAGCACTGGATAGCATGCTGTCTAAACATACTTTGTTTCTTCAGAAAGCAAAAAAAAAAATTGCCAGGGGAAGAAAACATTTAACAAAATGGCATCTATTGGAAGATAGCTGTGGATTTTTAAGAAACCTGAAATGTAAGAGGGTTAGCCCAGACTTAGTTATTAATATCTTGGAACCAGCTGGGGAGTAAAATTAGGCTGTAAAATCATTGCACCATTTGCTCTGCCAAGCTGGAAGTAACACGTTTCTCACACACTTCTCCAGGAGAAAAGTACCCCACTGGGGCACAGGAGAGACAGATCTGGTTTCTTTGTCTTTGTCTCCTCCTTTGTCGGGTTCATAATCTCACTCACCGAGCTCACAGATCGCAGGGTCAAAGTGCAGAGGTGAAGCGGGCCTTGGAGTCAGGCTGCCGGCGCCCTCCGTGATGATGGCGGGCTCTAACCCTCCCCTCTCTATTCCCTCATTCCCTCATCTAGCAAACGAGGCCAGTGATAGTAGCGACAGCTGGTCCGCTTAGCATCCAGGTGGAGCACAGAACGCTCTCAGTGATGCCAGCCGCTGTCAGGTGATGTCTTTGCAGCAGGCTCTGCCACCAGGTCCACTTCAAAAACAGACAACCCCTTAGGCAGCCTGGTGAAGAAAAAGAGAAAGTTCAGACGAGCGGAAGAGGCATGTCACTGCCAACCTCACAGAAACAAACAGACTCACAGGGGACAGATAAGACAGCGGCATGCCAGCGGTTCAGACAGCTTGGATAGGGTGGCAGCCTCTAGAAACGAGTAGGTCACCCGACTCCCATGAGAGAGAAAGCCCTGAGAGATCTACATCAGGAAACTGAGCCAACACAGACAAACCTCACTGTGAAGAAATCTCAGGACCAGGTGGCTGCATTTGTAAATTCTCCAGAACATTTAAAGAATTAACAACCACGCTTGTCCAACTCTCCCAAACCATGCAACAAGATGATGACTTCCAAACTCATTCTGTGAGGTCATCATTACCCAGAAGCCAAAAACCAGTTCCTTACTCTCGTTGGAACTCTGCCCTCCCTGACCTAACATTCTCCACATTCTCTCACTCCAAATTGTTTCTCCTCTTAGCTTTGATCCCCACCTCACACACAGGCTACCTAGTCACCCTGCCTTCTCCATTAGCATTCAAGTTCCCTCACAGCAGGGCATTTATTGTCGGTTGGAGTGTTTCTTGGTGAATTCTCAGCGTCTGGAATGGTACCCATCACATAATAGATGCTCAGTAAAAGTTTACTGAGTAAGTAAGTGAACACGCTGTCTAATCATTCATTGCGGGGAGACTGTTGCACAAACACGGGGTGGGGTGGGGTGGGGGGACAGAAACGGCCGCCAGGAGAAAATGAGCTTCCAGAGGCAGAGAGATAAGCAAGAAAGTGCCCTGTCAGGAGAATAAAGGAAATGGGTTTCTTAAAAGCAAGCATGCTCCTTGTGTGCATCAATGCCGGAAAGTCAGCACACAAAATGCCCATTGGAACTTCCTGTGAATGAAGATTACTCGACACAACAGAGGAGCCACATGGGGACATGGGAAGGCTGAGTCGATGGGACAGGTTTGGGGAGTGAGAGGGGAGAGCCAGGCCCTCAGATAGGTGGTACAGAGTGAGAATTTGATACGAGTAGGTAATGGTATGTAGTGTGTGATGTTCTCTTCCTTAAATGGGATTTCTTTGCTCTGGGAACCTTTGAGATCCTCTCGTCTTGTTTTTCTGAAATTGTTTCAGTTCCTGCTACAGGGCTTTTTGCAGTATCCCCCAACTTAACAGTGTGTTCCCATCTGTGTTTGGGCTTCCGCGTCACCTCTCCTCCCTCTTGCCTTTCCCGGGCTCCATTTCCGCTCCTGCTCCTGAGAAATGAACTTGTGGATCTGCCACAAACGAGTTGGGGCCCACAGCGTCTGCCTTTGCGTCCAGCACTTCATCCTGCTTCGCCTCACTGCCACCAGAGAGACGGGGTTCCAGTCTTGTATTTAGGCAAGGTTGGGTTTTTTTGTTGTTGTTGTTTTTCGAGACAGGGTTTCTCAGTGTAGTTTTGGTGCCTGTCCTGAATCTCGCTTTGTAGACCAGGCTGACCTTGAACTCACAGAGATCTGCCTGGCTCTGCCTCTCGAGTGCTGGGATTAAAGGCGCACGCCACCACCACCCGGCTTAGGCAAGTTTTGGAAGTAGATTTTTGCTATAGAAAGGGAAGTACAGAGAAAATGGAGGACATGCTCGAAAGGCCGAGGGACAGGCGAGGATGCTGTTTTCGTGTGGCTAAGACTTCCGTAAGTCTGAGGGCCCGTGGAAAAAATACAGCCGAGGAGTGGGGTGGACTGTCTAAGAGAGAGGAGGGTGCTGGGAGAGGAGCTGGATCCCAGTCACAGGACCGGTGTCTGCAAGGAGGAGCCATCTTGCCCGCACCTCAGGCTACAGGCAGGAAAGGAGGATGTGGAGAACTGACTCTCTTAGGCCCTGCCAGGACCCAGTCTCCTGGAACCAAGTCTGTTCACCATGTAACTCTTTTTTCTGGCTCAGCTGAGGATGCTCAAGGGGCAGGACAGAGGCTGAAGGGGTGGGAAGCGAAGCTGAGGAATGGAAAATGCCTACTTCAACGCTGTTATGTTTGTGAGAGACACTCTGCTTTCTGAGTGATGCTCTCCCTCTGGTGTGATGCTCTCCCTCATCTGGTATGATGCTCTCCCTCTGGTGTGATGCTCTCCTTCCTCTGGTGTGATGCTCTCCCTCTGTGTGATGCTCTCCTTCTGTGTGATGCTCTCCCTCTGGTGTGATGCTCTCCCTCTGTGTGATGCTCTCCCTTCTCTGGTGTGATGCTCTCCCTCTGTGTGATGCTCTCCCTCTGGTGTGATGCTCTCCTTCCTCTGGTGTGATGCTCTCCCTCTGTGTGATGCTCTCCTTCTGTGTGATGCTCTCCCTCTGGTGTGATGCTCTCCCTCCTCTGGTGTGATGCTCTCCCTCTGGTGTGATGCTCTCCCTCTGTGTGATGCTCTCCCTCTGTGTGATGCTCTCCCTCTGGTGTGATGCTCTCCCTCCTCTGGTGTGATGCTCTCCCTCCTCTGGTGTGATGCTCTCCTTCTGGTGTGGTGCTCTCCCTCCTCTGGTGTGATGCTCTCTCTCCTCTGGTGTGATGCTCTCTCTCCTCTGGTGTGATGCTCTCCCTCTGGTGTGATGCTCTCCCTCCTCTGGTGTGATGCTCTCTCTCCTCTGGTGTGATGCTCTCTCTCCTCTGGTGTGAAGCTCTCCCTTCTCTGGTGTGATGCTCTCCCTCTGGTGTGATGCTCTCCCTCCTCTGGTGTGATGCTCTCCCTCTGGTGTGATGCTCTCCCTCCTCTGGTGTGATGCTCTCCCTCCTCTGGTGTGATGCTCTCCCTCTGGGGTGATGCTCTCCCTCCTCTGGTGTGATGCTCTCCCTCTGGTGTGATGCTCTCCCTCTGTGTGATGCTCTCCCTCTGTGTGATGCTCTCCCTCTGGTGTGATGCTCTCCCTCCTCTGGTGTGATGCTCTCCCTCCTCTGGTGTGATGCTCTCCCTCCTCTGGTGTGATGCTCTCCCTCTGGTGTGATGCTCTCCCTCTGTGTGATGCTCTCCCTCCTCTGGTGTGATGCTCTCCCTCCTCTGGTGTGATGCTCTCCCTCCTCTGGTGTGATGCTCTCCCTCCTCTGGTGTGATGCTCTCCCTCCTCTGGTGTGATGCTCTCCCTCCTCTGGTGTGATGCTCTCCCTCTGGTGTGATGCTCTCCCTCCTCTGGTATGATGCTCTCCCTTCTCTGGTGTGATGCTCTCCCTTCTCTGGTGTGATGCTCTCCCTCTGGTGTGATGCTCTCCCTCTTCTGGTGTGATGCTCTCCCTTCTCTGGTGTGATGCTCTCCCTCCTCTGGTGTGATGCTCTCCCTCCTCTGGTGTGATGCTCTCCCTCCCTCTGGTGTGATGCTCTCCCTCTGGGGTGATGCTCTCCCTCCTCTGGTGTGATGCTCTCCCTTCTCTGGCGTGATGCTCTCCCTCCTCTGGTGTGATGCTCTCCCTCTGGGGTGATGCTCTCCCTCTGGTGTGATGCTCTCCCTCCTCTGGTGTGATGCTCTCCCTCCTCTGGTGTGATGCTCTCCCTCTGGTGTGATGCTCTCCCTCTGGTGTGATGCTCTCCCTCCTCTGGTGTGATGCTCTCCCTCTGGTGTGATGCTCTCCCTCTGGTGTGATGCTCTCCCTTCTCTGGCGTGATGCTCTCCCTCCTCTGGTGTGATGCTCTCCCTCTGGGGTGATGCTCTCCCTCTGGTGTGATGCTCTCTCTCCTCTGGTGTGATGCTCTCCCTCCTCTGGTGTGATGCTCTCCCTCCTCTGGTGTGATGCTCTCCCTCCTCTGGTGTGATGCTCTCCCTCCTCTGGTGTGATGCTCTCCCTCTGGTGTGATGCTCTCCCTCTGGTGTGATGCTCTCCCTCTGTGTGATGCTCTCCCTCTGGTGTGATGCTCTCCCTCCTCTGGTGTGATGCTCTCCCTCTGGTGTGATGCTCTCTCTCTGTGTGATGCTCTCCCTCTGGTGTGATACTCTCCTTCCTCTGGTGTGATGCTCTCCCTCTGGTGTGATCCCCATTACAATAACAGCCTCCCTCCAGCCTCCCGAGTGTGAGGCGGGTTACCCCATGGGTAAATTACTGGGAAGAAACCGAACACGCACAGTCTTGTCCCTTTCCGGTCTCCTTTTCCTCTAAGGGAACAGATGGTAAGCATAGGCACAAAGCTTCTCTCCACACCTGCCTGTGGGGAGGGGAGGAGGAGTCTGGCCTCGCCATGGTTCTGTGATAGGAATGGACAGCACCCGGGTTCAGCCTTGGGAAGTCCTTCACCCACAAAGACCTCAAGTTCTCCAGTGTCTGCTCTACTGCGGGAAAGTGATGTTTGGTTCCTGTACATCTGCCTTTCTCCTTTGTTCCCTACTCTCCTCTCTGTCATCTCTCTACCACCACCACACCACCACCACACCATACCACCACACCACCACCACCACGACCACCACACCACCATACCACCACACCACCACACCACCACATCACCACTACACCGCCACCACACGACCACACCACACACCACCACACCATCACACCACCACACCACCACACCACCACCACACCACCACATCACCACCACCACGACCACCACACCACCACCACCACGACCACCACACCACCACACCACCACCACCACGACCACCACACCACCACACCACCACATCACCACCACACCACCACACCACCAAACCACCACACCACCACACCACCACCACACCACCACGACCACCACACCACCACACCACCACATCACCACCACACCACCAAACCACCACACCACCACACCACCACACCATCACCACACCACCACCACACCACCACCATACCACACCACCTCACCATCATACCACCACCACACCACCACATCACCACCACCACGACCACCACACCACCACACCACCACACACCACCACACACCACCAAACCACATCACCACAACCACCACCACCACACCACCACTATCAGCACACTGCCACTACCATCACCACACTGCCACTACACTACCATCACACCACCATGACCACCACCACACTACCACCCAGAAGGTTCCAAAAGAGACTGGGAAGAAGCAGAAGGATTACTGCACTGGGAATTAGACCACCAAACGTGGCTTGTGGAATGTGCTTCTCAAAAATCATTCCTTTTGAAATATAGACTCTCAAAAAAAAAAAAAAACAACAAGAATCATTTTCTCATATCATTTAATAATGGGGTCCATATTTCTGGAAGGGAACAATTGTGGTGTAGAAATGAGAGCCAGAACCTTTGATGGATGTGTCCAAGCCCCAGGATCTGCTTTCTCAATGCAACCAAAGCACAAGCCAATCATTTCTTCAGCTCTTTCCAGGAGTCCATGGTTTTCTATCTGGAAACAGCCATCACCACACCCACTGCTTCAAGCTGGAGAAAATGCCCCTGAATCATCCCAATATGTGAAGAGTCAGTAGAGCAGCATGCATACTGCGAAGGAGGCGAGCATCTGCCAAGGTGCATTCCTGATGGGTGAGAAAAATGCCTCAGCGATAGCAAAAGCAGGTGTTGGCGCCCAGAGCGTGCTGCCCTGGGCTGTCTTCAGATCTGCAATCGTATTTCTTACTTTTTTAAAGTTTTAAAAGTTTATTATTACTTACCTATTTATGTATTTTATGTATGTGAGTGTTCTATTTGCATGTATGCCTGCATGACAGAAGAGGCCATTAGATCTCATTAGATCCCACGGTTGTGGCTGCTGGGAATTGAACTCAGTTCCTCTGGAAGAGCAGCCGGTGCTCTTAACCACTGAGCCATCTCTCCAGCCCCCATAATCATCTTAGAAATGGTCACTATCATGGCCCTCAAGTTACTTCAGTCTCCCCACTGCTAATTGAAAAACACTGGGTTCAACTGTGCACCCTCTCTCCGCAACTTCTGCTATCTGTACATTTAACCAAGCCATCATCAGGGCCGCGGGTGAACACAAAGAACATCCGTGAAATTGCTCTTACCGTTCAACTAGCATGCTCTCTCAAGAATCAGAGGGATGTTCAAAGTGTGTGGGGGGCATTGGAATCTGTGGAAAGCTGAAAAAAAAAATCTGGGTCTGGAAAGTGGGTGGGGACACCGTTGGTGGGGATGCGGCTGCTGAGCCTGGAGCTTGTGTGTGGTCCTCACACTGCTCTGCCTATGGCGAATGACCTCCCGCCATCCCACATTACCCTGGCAGTTGTTTGATGTGCCGAGAGGGAGACTCTGGCCCTTGTTCTTTCCAAGAAGCAAACATTCCCACCCCGCCCCCAATCCGACGACAGTCCACAGCACCAAACCTCCTAAAAGGAAGATGGGGTGCTGCTGACAAACGGGGGGGACTGGGGTGTAGGGTTAAAGCCTGACAAATGCCACCATCCCTGGGCTCTGTGAGGACACTGGGTTGTGTAGGTATCACGTCAAGGTCTTGATTCACCCAGGACTGCTTCCTGCAGTGAGCCTGGCAGCCTGGCAGCCTGGCCGTTCTCACCCCTTCCACCGTCATCCTGTTCCTATTTTTGAGGCCTTTCTGAGCTGAAAGTGGGGACATGCTGGAAAGCAAACTCACCCTTGACCTTCATGGAGGGCACAGCCATATCGATGCATCTGGCTTGAAAATAACCACCAGCCTCTCTCTAGTGGCTCCGAGCCCACGGGGGATGTAGAAGAATTGCATCCAAGACCTAGGCTTGATCTTAGAAAAGTTCAGGTAAGAAAGATTCCATTGACACGGACTTGAACTTCTAAAGGTGGAGAGAGCTTCAGGTTTGAATTATCTGAAAATGAGAAAGCTAATCACTATGAAGTGAAGGAAAAGGGAGTGTCACCATGTCACAGAGGATAGCATCGTCATCCAAAGATCACGGTCAGTAAACACTGCTTACTGGAAACATTGCCACATGCAATTCTGGGGCACAATGATTCAAATAAACAAATCCCACTTCACAGATCTGTTGTAAGAGACATTAACTTTGAACTCAAAGAATGACGTGGGCTGGGGGTGGGGGGCAGGGGGATGGCGGGGGACAAGGGTGCTTGCTGACAAAGTTGATAATCTGAGTTCCATCCCCCAGGGTCCACATTGTGGAAGGAGAGAACTATCTCTGTAAGTTGTCTTTTGACCTCCACACAAGCACCGTGACATTACACACACACACACACACACACACACACACACACACACACACACACACACACATACACACACACACACACAGACACACAAATGTGAAGAATGAACCGAGCTACCTAAGAAGTTGGGGGAGAAGTTGCTTGTGTGGGGTTGTGCATCAGACAAAGGCTAAAGCTAACTTTTCCTTGTTTTTCCTAGTGACTTCTGGGTGCTCACTGTGGTCATGGTCGTGGAAAATCACAAACCTTGATGACTCCCAGGTCTGACTGTCTGTGGCTTCTCTGAGGCTCGCCCACCCCTCCCCCACGACACTGGCAGAGGGCTGCCTGGCATGTGTCATGCCCTAACCACACGCCAGGCTCGATGCTGGAAAGTCTCATTGTTTGATTTGGTTTGGTTTTGACAAGCTCTTACTTTGTAGCCCAGGTTAGACTGGACCACATGATCCTCCTGTGTCAGCCTTCCCAGGCATAAGCTGCAACCCCTGGCTTTATGTTGAAATATATATATATATATATATATATATATATATATATATATATATATATATATATATTTATAAAATCACAAATATATATAATAGGTAATTTAATTTGTCACAAAATCTCTTAAAGTTTTATTTCTACTAATTCTACAGTGAAGAATCAGACAGAGAGCACTGATACAATTCACATAAGGCCCCAAAGTTGATAAGCCTAGGAGAGGCAAAATTTTTAGCTCAGGTTTAGTGGCCCCATAGCCCATGGTCTGCAACAACTCCTTCGCCATCTTCCAGCAGCAAATCTAATAGGAAGTTCAACCATAGCTGCAAAGGTCTTCAAACTCTCCCCTCCGTCACACACTGGGGCTCCTCCTTAGCACTTGGCCAGCAAGTGCTTTTCACTCAGGGTGTAAGAAGCTTGTTCATGTCCAGCTATCAAGTACACATCCCAGCTGACAAAATGGACACCCCTTGACAACTGGGTGAGGACAACATGCGTCCTCAACTCCCAGTGACCATACAGCTGCCCGTCGCTCCAAAGGATGCTGGGGAAGGTGGTCTTGTTGCAAGAAGTCATCTTCAGCGAAGCTGAAAAAGTAAGATCTTATTGTTAGAGAAGAGGGAAGGGGTCATCCTGCAGGACAATCTCACAATTGGGTGTGGGGTCCGATGAGGACACAAGGCACAAAGCATGCCAGGTACCTGGAAGCTACTTACTGACCTATATCTGGCTGTCTGTGAAACACACAGAAAAATAAAACACTTCTAACCGGGCAAAGAGAGGTACCAGCTTGGGGGAAGGAGAAGGACTTTCAAAGCCTACCCTGGTTCTATTTCAGAGTCCCCCCCCCTTTCACGCCCACAGCGCATAGCCTTTGCCCTCTGCAGCAGCCCCAGGTCCACGTGGAGGGTAGTAAGGAAGCGATGCTTCGGCAGGCAGCTCTGCAGAGCCGGGGCCTCATTGTAAGATCCAGGAGCAGCCCAGCCCGGCGCAGGTGACTCTGACGGTAAATAATGTCTACCGCAGCAGTTAATGGAAATGCAGTTTTCATTACAGTAAGGAAATTGAAATCGCAGCCGCCCTCCGTGGGTTCCATCTGGCCGTCTTTCATTTCTCATAAGACGATGTGTTGTTTTCATTCCCCTCTCCATTAACCTTTGTTGTGAAGGGTAGGAAGCCGGGTGATTGAAATCCTCAAGAACTTCCCACACGGTGCTGCCATTTTAGCAAGGGAGAGGAGGAAGGAAGAGACTGGTTTTGCTGTTGTTGTTTGTTTGTTAATTTTATTTTGTTTGAGAAGATGTTATTTTGGAGAGAAGGTTCCAGATGACCTTCCTGAGTTAAAGAATTGACAGGCACGCAGAAAGAGGAGAATTGGAGGTAAAGTGATGGCCAAGTTTCCCATGTCACTTAAAATTTTCTCAGATGTACTGGACAGCCTCCCCTGGGTGGGGAATAGCCAGGGCATCAATATTGTGAATGCTCCTGCTGTGGTCTGAAGGTTTGCATGCCCAAACTCATACATTAATATCCTGCCTGTCTGAGTGGTGATCTCAACAGATAGAATCTTTGTACGGACACTGGGTCATGGGCAGAGTTCTACATGCAAGAGAAGTGCCCTCAGGGACCCGGGAGATGCTTGTCTCTTCTGACACCTAAGGGGGTAGTAAGAGGCCAACTGTGAACCAGGAAGGAGCCCTGGGCAGACAACAAATCCATACGTTTCTGTTGTTTATAAGCTATCCCGCCTAAGGCATTTTGTTATAACAGCCCAAATGGACAAAGAAATATTCTAACGCAAAACATGTTTTCAACCCAGTTTAGCTCTCTGACTTGCAGTCATTTGTGGCTGTGAAAATTTTCTCCCTCATTAGAGACAAGTGAGCTGAACAAGGACTGTACGGACTCGCTTCCCCAGATGCCCTTTCCTCTGAATTCTGGGTCACATCCCAGCTCCCGATAGCTCAGAGGACCCTCACTGCCTTTCCCGTCTCTGTCAGCTTCTCCCTGGCAGATTTTATTTTTGCACCACCCACTCTGCAGAGGAGGCATGGAGCTAATAGATCTGTGACAGGGAGAACAGCTGCTCAGCCACAGCAGTCAAAGTGCTGAATCTCATCATTTTGTTGAGAACGCAAGAAGAGAAAAGACACCCTCTGTTGGCAGAGACGTATCTCAGGGTGTTAGCTCTTCTCTGTGCTTTCCTTATAATTGAAGAGTTTCTGACTGCCTTTTTTTTTTTTTTCTGATATTGTGTCAACCATTGTGATGGCTAGTTTTATGTCAATTTTATAGTCATCCGAGAGGAGGGACCCTCAACTGAGGAAATGCCTCCGTAAGACTGGGCTGTAGCTGGGCAATGGTGGCACACACCTTTAATCCCAGCACTCAGGAGCCAGAGGCAGGTGGATTGCTGTGAGTTCAAGATCAGCCTGGTCTACAAAGCAAGTTCCAGAAAAACCAGGGCTGTTACACAGAGAAACCCAGTCTCAAAAACAAACAAACAACAAACAAACAAAAACAAAACCAAAAACCAAAAACCAACCAACCAAACAAACAAACAAACAAAAAAATCAGGCTGTAAGTAAGCCTGTAGGGCATTTTCTTAATTAGTGACCAGTGGAGGAAGTCCCAGCCCATTGTGGGTGGTGCCATCCCTGGCGTGGTGGCCCTGGGATGTTGTTGGTTGTTTTTTCACTCTTTGACCCTTTGGAAGACCCACCACCCAGCTCCCAAAAAAATAGACACAGAGTCTTATTACTTATGAATGCCCAGCCTTAGCTTGGCTTGTTTCTTGCCAGCTTTTCTTAAATGATCCCATCTGTCTTTTGCCTCTGGCCTTTTACCTTTCTCTATTTCAGTATATCTTTTCTTTCCTTCTTATTCCGTGTCTGGCTGTGTAGCTGGGTGACTGGCCCCTTCTTTTCTTGCTCCTTGCTCCTCTCTTGCTTCCCGATCCCTCTTTTTCTCCTTCTGTTTATTCTCTCTGCCTGCCAGCCCTGCCTATCCTTTGTCCTGCCCTGCCTATCCTTTGTCCTGCCTAGCTATTGGCCTTTACTAGACCGATCAAGTGTTTTAGACAGGCACAGTAACACAGCTTCACAGAGTTAAACAAATGCAACATAAAAGAATGCAACACATCTTTGCATCATTAAACAAATGTTCCCCAGCATAAACAAATGTAACACATCTTAAAATAATATTCTACAACACTGGGATCTATAAGAAAGCATGCCATGAGGAGCAAGCCAGTAAGTAGCACCCCTCTATGGCCTCTACATCAGCTCCTTCCTCCAGGTTCCTGCCTAGTTTGAGTTCCTGCCTTGGCTTCCCTCAGTGGACTGTGACTCAGGATATGAAAGCCAAAAAATAAACCCTTTCCTCCCCAGTTCACTTTTGGTCATGGTGTTTCATTCCATCAATAGAAACCCTAAGACAACCATTTGCAAGCAGTTTCCAGAATATGAGTGCAAGGCCAGGGTAAAATGAGAAAGGAGGGAGAGTTTCATTTCAGCAGACTGCCAAATCAAAGGCTCCAGAGCCTTCTATATCCTTCTATAGCCATGACCAGTTCCCTAAGGAGGGAGATGGGGACCATTTAAGCCACCTTTTCTATATGATGACACCCTTGGGAAGTGAACTGCTACAGCCTTATTTATTCATTATGCCTCTTCAACATCTTCCTGTCCAGTCCTCTTCTCTGGAGGAGAAGCCTTTTGCTGTGATTGACATAACTTCATGGGCCCCAGAGCTTACTCCGTCTACAGGAGAGCATGATAGAAAATTGCAGGCAACATGGGTTCTAAGCTGAGGATTGCTTCCTTACTTTACAGTTGGAGCCAACATCCTCGTAAGCCCAGTTGTCTGGCTGTTCATACCATGGTGGGATGAATCTGAAGGAAGGGAAAGGAGAAGTGAGGTAAGGAGGTGGGAAGCATGGAGCACTGTAAGATGTATCAACAAGCTCGCAGATACCATGGTTTAAAGAACAAGGAAAGTCGTCTCTCTGTTACATAATAATCCTGATGTGAACTGTATGAGTTAGGGGGGAAGGTCCTTATTCAGTCATCAGGAACACTGATTCTTTCCATGATTACAATCCTCCTCAGGACCTAGTCAGATTAAATCACCACCACATCCAGATGTTGGCCAGCTCAGAGGTGGGATACCCCTGGTCTTAAGACTCTGGCCAAAAAGTGGCATGGTCATTTCTGCTCAGTCAATTTGCAAGAATACCATTGCATAGTCATACCTAGCTGCAAGGGAAGCTGGGAATGGAGTCTATGTGGGAAGCCATCCATCCAGAAAGAACAGACTTGGGTTCACATCCATTTCTTCCTATTGGTCACAACGTTGATACAACAAAGCCTCTTTCTGCTTCCCTTTGTTCTATTAGTATCCGTTTTCTCCTGTTGGACACTTTCATTCTAGGATTATTTCTTAGGTAACTTCTATGTACCAGGGGCTGTTGTTTGATCTGGTGATCTAGCTGTTAACTTTGGAATCAGATGCACTGTGAGATTGTTGAGAAACTGTGCAAGGACCTTTTCTTCATATTCTCAAACTAATATTAATTTTAATGTCTAATTGTCTTTTCAATTTTTGTATTGTTTTGTTTTTTAAGACAGGGTTTCTCTGTGTAGCCCTGACTGTCTTGGAACCCACTCTTTAGACTAGGCTGGCCTCAAACTCAGAGATCTGCCTGCCTCTGCCTCCCCAGTGCTGGGATTAAAAGCATGTGTCACTAATGTCCGGCCAAATTGTTTTCCTTTAAAAACATCCTTGGATTTAAATGTGCTTCCAGGCACAGAAAACCAACTTTCATGAAGCACACATCTTAGGTGGGTTAGAAAGGAAACAAATATATACATATTTCAAATAGTGATAGTATTGATATAAAATACAGACAAGGTCAAGAGACAGGGCTATATGTATTTATGTGCATGTACATGTGTGTGTACATGTGTGTGTGTGTGTGTGTGTGCATATGTGCACTTGTAGATGGAAGTCAGAAATTGATGTCAGCTGCTTCCTCAATCACTCTCCGCTTGCTTTATTTGTTTGTTTGTTTATTTATTTATTTATTTATTTATGAGACAGAGTTTCTCACTGAATCTAGAGCTTACCAGTTTGGATAGAACAGCTGGTTAATAAATTCCAGAGATCCTCCTGTCTCTGCCTCTCCAATATTAGGATTACAGGCACTTGCCATGTCTTGCTCTAAAAAATATATATATTTTTTAAAAATATATATGTGTATGGGCATTTTGCCCACATGTATGTCTGTGCACCACATGTACGCAGTACCTGCGGAGGCCAGAAAAGGACACTGGACCCTGGTATGGTGTAGGAATCAAACCCAGGTCTTCTGGAAGAATAAGCAATGCTCTTAGTTGCTGAGCCAGCTCTCCAGCCCATTTTGTTTGTTTGTTTTTGTTTACCTTTTCTTTTGAGATAGGGTCTCTTTATGTAGTTCTGGCTGTCCTAGCCCTCTCTATGTAGACCAAGTTGGCCTCGAATTCACAGAGATCTGTTTCCTCTGCCTCCCAAGTATTGGGATTAAAGGTGAGCACCACTATGCCTGGCTCATTTTGTGGGATCCAGGGGACCAAACGCAGGTGTCATGCGCACACCCCACCCCCCCACCTCCACCCCACCCCACCCCACCCCGCTGATGCCACAAGCACTTTGCTAACAAAGCATCTCCCCTGCCCTGACACTGATCCTTGTTCATTTGTGCATTTGGAAACCTTTTTCTAAGGGAAGTATCATGTGAACAGAAATGGAGTGAAGGGAGTAGTTTCTAGTTTATGCTACCATGAAGATGACTATGATTCACTCTCCTGCGCATAAATCTTCATGGATGCTTCTGATTAGTTCTTTGAAATCTATTTCTGGTGTGGAGTTAATGAGTCAGGAGAACAAATGTTTTAAGGGTCTCGAGACAATGTGCCGAAGACTCTCTTTTTCTTGAGCCTTCTTGTTAGAGCTGAGAAAGAAGCAATTAACAGAGACCTAGATTTCAAGGCATTTTAAGTGTATACTTAACCTTTCGAAATGTCTGAAGATGCTAAAGATGTCAGGGGTATTTATACCAGTCTGTCTGAGTCTGGCTGTGCCCAAGATCCTATCTATTTTTCTTTTCCATCTCCCATCTCCATATCCTTCAAAGCCATTCTTTCTGCTAAAGCTATGTTAGGTCGTGGAATTTTAGTGTAGGAAAGGACCTTGGTGTTAGCAAGTCCACCCCATTTTATAGCTGAGAAAACTGAGACCCTGGGAGAGATACTGCTCAACTGCTCAAAGTGTCACGGTAAGTTTATGGTCAATAAAGCCTCAGGCTTCTGGTTCCCACTTCTGCAACAGAACCAGCAGTCAGTGAAATGTTCATGTGCTGTATTATGATGAACAGACTGAAGGCCAGAGTTTAGAGTCAGTGCCATGGATATGGATTGCCAGATTCACCTATCATGCCTGTGGTGATGAGCATTAACGTCACTAAATCGTAGATGTGAAGGTCATAGGACAGTGATGGACACGGTGACATTTCAATGTTAGTGACGGCCACTTCTTTAGTGACAAAAGACAAGTCTCCACACTGGATATGGGGCCCCATGGGAAAGGGCAGGGATGAAGGTACCATGGCCTTGGGGCCCGTGGGCCTAAACAGAAGACCTCCGTCGAAAAAGGCTGCTTCTTACACCATCAGAATCCCTTCAGCCAGGGAAGGAGTCACACAAGGCCGCTCTGAGGCTCAGAGTCGGCTTCAACCCGGGTCAGGGGACAGCGAGAGAAAGCAGCCCAGCTGGAGGCTGCGGACAGGGTCAGCTTTCATGGGCTGCCAGGTCTCTCCGGGGAGGCCAGCTGCCCAGCCCAAATGGTTTGGGCCACCCTGCCACGTGAGAAGACTCTTGTTCCCTCACCTCTCCCTTTCTGGGCTCCATTCCAGGTGTACAGGGGAATGGTGTCTCGCGAGGGGAGGAGGGAGCAGAGAGAAGTGTGGAGGAGGAGCAGGCTTCCCAGGGCAGGCTTCCAGAAGGAGGAAGGCAAGGCCAAGGGAGAAGAGAAGAGTCAAGGTTAAACCAGTTTCTGTTTTATAACTATTGCTTTGGACTTGAAAAGCCAAGATCTGAATAAAGGCTTTTTTTTTTTTCCCCAATTCAAAGTTTGTTGTTTTTTTTTTTTTTTTAATTGCCTCAACCCAACACAGAAGTTAGTTAGAGGCCTGTCCTGGTCATGGGGGGGGGGGGGGGAATAATTGCAGAATTCTACCTGTAGTATAGTAGATAATAACACTTAAAGAGACAGTGATGGACTATTAGTTACTCTTCTCGTTGATGTGATAATTACCAAACAAAGGAAACAAGAAAGGGAGGGCTTGTTCTAACTCATTGGTAAGGAGGGGTGCGGTCCGCCATGGTAGGGATGGCATGGCGGGAGCTGGTCAGCTGGTGTCCACGGCCAGGAAGCAGAGAGAGGGAAGCTGGTGTTTACTTTTATTCCATCTAGGATCCCAAGGGAAGGCACCTCCCACATTCAGGGCATTTCTCTCCTCAGTGAAACCTTTCCAGAAACACAGTCATGGAGTGGCTGGCATGTGTCTCCTAGGTGATTCTGAATCCAGCCAAGTTGAGGGTGAAGATTACCAACCATCACAGAGATCTACAAAATTTGATCTGTCCCTACTGCTTTCATGGGGTAAGTAGGCAATAGATAACAGATAGGTATATCTAGATCTAATCTATCTATCTATCTATCTATCTATCTATCTATCTATCTATCTATCTATCTATCTATCTATCTATCTCTGTATCTATATCTATCAATATCTATATCTATCTATCATATATATATATCTATATCTATATATATATAGATATATATATATATAGAGAGAGAGAGAGAGAGAGAGAGGGATGTGTTGTATTCGCTATCTCTGTCTCATGTTTTTCTGATACTCCAGCTACATGTAAGGTTGACTTGACCTGCATTCTGGCTGTCTCACACACAATGGACTTTCCTAAATAACCCTCTTCTGCCAACTGGACTCTATTCTAACCTATGAGTCAAAGTAATTTTTAGATGCCTCTTTTAAGCTTCAGCTGCATGGCTTCATTCTTAAAAAGTTTTATTTTCTAAAATCTTTTCACCCTTTAGAGCCCCCGCAACACCCATGATCAACGTCAATGTCACTCTGAATGCGAACTCAACTCACAATTGTGACTCCTCATGTCTGAAAGCCACAGAGGTCCATATGTTTTCGAGCTCCCCGAGGCCTTTCCCCAGCCCTCCTGCTGAAAGCCCACACAGATCACAGTCCACACCTCATTCATCCATTCGGTCTTTGTTGGATTGTCTGCCCTTCCTGTTAATGTTGTGAAATGGCTGGAGAGGCTTTGGCGGGTTTGGACCAAGGAGCCCCTCAGCAGGTGAGACAGGTCATGTGACTGTGTGGACCGCAGAAAGTTACTCCCACGGCAGATGCGACATCCATGTGCAAAGTTTTATTATTAAAGGAAGAAGGGGGAGAGAGAGGGGGAGAGAAAGAAAGAGGGAGAGAGAGAGAGAGGGAGAGAGAGAGAGAGAGAGAGAGAGAGAGAGAGAGAGAGAGAGAGAGAGGTGTGCTACCTCTCGTGAGAGGGGGAAAGAGAGAGAAAAGTGGAGGAGTTTTTCTTAAAGGGGATTTTACACAAGATGACGTCAGGACGCTGGGCGGGTCACCGAGGTCGAGTCAGAACACTAGCACTTCCTATGCGATCACTCTCTGGAGTGCGCGCACACCCGGGAGATGAGTGACAGTCCCCGCTCTCACCTGTCCAGGACTGTAGAATTGTGAGAAGGCTGATTCTGGCATGGTATTCAAGATACAGTAGGCGAACAGGAGTGCCGTGGTTCGAGGTTCATGCTGAAACTTATCCCCATTGTGTGATATTAAGAGAGCGGAAACCTGATCTGACAGTCCTTGGAGGTGGGACATTTGGAAGCTAAGGTGAAATGAATCAAGTGGTGGGGCCCTCCCTTCTCCAACAGAACTATGGCTTTAGAGCACAGGTTAGACTTGAGCGCACACATTCGCATTCAGTCCTTCCCACTGCGTGATGGACTCCACCGTGTCCTGACTCACCACAAAGACTCTCAACAGATGTCAAACCGATACCAGCACCACTCTCTGTGGGGTACCCTGTACCCCCACACCCCTAGTTTCAACTCTTACTTGTCACATAAGCTCCAAGCATATTCATGACACCTGAGGAGATTATAGATTATCTCTTCGCTCCTTTCAGCATCAGAGCCTTGGCTAGGCCTGCCCTGGTACCTCCCAATGCACAGGTGTATGCAAACATAAAGTGACACACTGTGGGGTGGTCTTTCTGTACGCTGCGAATATGTGTTGCTACCACTGGTTAATAAAGAAGCTGCTATGGCCTATGGCAAGGCAGAATAGAGCCAGGCGGGGAAATCCAAGGAGAAGATGGAGTCAGAGGAGACATGGAGCTCTGCAGGAAATGGGGAGGGGAGCAAGATGTAACGGAATGCAGGTAATGCCAGGAAGCCACGTGGCAAAACATAGTTTAATAGAAATGGGTTGAATTAAGTTGTAAGAGCTAGTTAATGATAACCCTGAGCCACAGGCCAAACAGTTTGTAATTAATATAAGTCTCTGTGTGTTTACTTGGGACCAAGCGGCTGCGGGACACAGGAAAACTTCCGAGGCCAGTAATATGTGACCAGATAAAGGGCCAGTGATCTCACAGCCAAGCTTTAAATGATGGCAATGGCTTCTGCAGGACAAGGATCCTTTTCTCTTTTGTCTGCTGAGAGGGAGTTCTACACTCTCTGCGTTTTCTATTGCTGTAATCACTTACCTTGTAGAGCTTTTAAGATGATGCAACAATACATCATTGCATCATGTAGTGCTTTCATTTAAAAATAATCACTTTCAATATCAACAAGAACTGGTTACCGGAAGGCCTCCGGTCTATTCTGTTCTTCCTGTCCGTCACACACACTTGCCTGCTCTCTGGCTTTGTGTCTCGCCGGAATAGGAAGCCAGTCAAAGTGATGATCAGTGAGTCCCACTGTGTGCCAGGTGCAGCTGCTGCTGGCCCACCCTCCCCAGAACTTGGGCAGGCGCTCTCATCCCCACCAGGGTTATGACAGAACAGGGAGTCCCGAAAGATACCAACACAGCACACACGAGATCAGCATCGAATGAGTCGTCAGTGACCCAAAGTCTGCAGCAGCCAAGCATTCCAGAACTTTCCAGGACATTGGAGGAGGCTTCAGTTAGAGACTTCCTCAGACACCAGCAACTGGGCTCCCCTCTCTCAGGGAAGCATCTTTTTTCTTCCTTTCTTTCATTTTTTTTTTTTTTCCATCCCAAACTCCTGTATCCTGGAAGCAGCGGAGAAGGGCTGGTTCTCAGTTGCCACCCCACCATGACTACCACCACCAGTTCAGGAGCTTGCCAAGAGCCTGCCACGCTTAGACAGCTTGTGTTCAGAGTTTCTGTGGGCTGGGCCCACCCCACCCACCCCACCCATCCCACCCAACCTCTTGTAAAAGCTTAAATCAACAGGCATGGAAAAAAAAAAATCAAGACAGGCCATCTTAGGATAGGGGGAGGAAAAATCCCAACGGCAGCTGCTGCCTAATTGGCCTTCTAAATAGCTAGAGGGCTGCCAAGTGCAGAACCGAATTAAATAAGCCTTTTTTCCCCCTTCAGGGTGGAGCAGCAGGCTCCAGGTCTCCACCCGAGTCACACCCTAGCTGCGGCTATTTATAATATCTAAAAGCCAGATGGAACCTGCCAAGGGGAACAGAGATCGTGACAGAAAGCACAGGCCCAAGGCCAGCTCCCCCCTGGAGCAGACACAGATCCCGAGGGGCCCCTTGGGACTGTAGGAGTAAGGCAGAGACGTATAGAGGAACTACCCCTCTGCTGAGCTTTGAGCTCAGCTTTCGGCTGCTGCACAGCACAGGTTGGGAATCGGGTGATGCAGGCTGTACCTGCTGGATCCACAGGAGCTAGCTGATCCTACCAGTGTTTGCTCCCTGGCAGCTTGGACCCAATTAGAAGGATCAGCAGCCAGATGTGGATTCGCCAGGTGGAGTGGCTGGGCTGCCCCTCAGCCGGACAGAATTTGGAGCAAGGTAGTGCATGGTGGTCTAGAGTGCATCCAGGGAGGTGGGAACAAATCCTGATTTCTCGTCTGTGAGATGTGCTCGTCAGTAAAACCTTGAAGAGTTTGCGTCCTTATTTATGAAACACAGGCCACAATCAAACCACCCAGATGGGATTTGTGAGAGCATTAAACAATCACTAAGTGCTCAGGACAGTTTTGCAGCATAGAGACCACAGCTGTTACCATAGGACTTGCTGTTTGGACTCAAAAATGCCTCTGTGTTGGCCACTGAGTGCTGGTCTCTGATGGGGGCATACCCCATACCCCTTCTGGGCTGAAGCATCTTGGAGACAGATTGCATCTTGGCCTCCTACTTCCTGCCAATGAGCAAAAGCCGGTTTGAGCTAACAAAGTTGTCCGAAGTAGGTAGGCATCTGATAAAATCCCATCCACGAACGGCTTCCCAGGCTGCCCTAGGCAGCTGGTCTGGCCCTGGCTCCCCCAAACTCCAGTCCCATAATGAGACACTGCATTCCTAGCTCAGCCCTGGACTGTACTGTCCAGTTTTCCTGACACTCTGCTAAGGGATATCTTCTATGTCTCCCAAGGGCTCATGCGTTGATTGAAGGCCCCGTCTCCTTGGCACTGGTGTGCTGAGATGGAGGCCTTTAGAAACTGACTGGATCATAGATCAGTGGCTCAGACCTCATGGGTGAATTCATCTATTCATGGATTCATGGCTGAATGACGTTTGGAGCAGGGGTCCTATACAACAAAATGCGAGGTCCTCCTCTGCTTCCTGGGTGCTAGGAAGTGTACAACTTTCCCCCACCCCATACTTCCGCCATGATGCCCTGCCGCAGACACAGGCCTGAAAGAAAGCAGGCAAAGTGGCCACGCAGTGAAACTCAGGAAATCATGAACCCGAATAAATCTTTCTTCTTTTCACATAGCTTTGGGTATTTTGTCACAGGGATGGAATGCGAATACACCCTCCGACCACATCGACGGGGCTTTCGTTTTCAGTACTCCTAGAGCAAGCCCACACTGTGACACACACATGCTCCTTCCAGTTCTTTAGAAGCCACATAAATAAAAGTCAGACATTTAAGGGTGAAATTAAGGGTAATGGCCTGTTTAATCTACTCTATCAACAATAATACTGGTTCAGAATGTAATTGATATAAACATTATTAATGGGACATGGGACACTCTCTTTTTATCGGACACATCTAAGCTCTGATGAACACTTTATATAGCAGCACGTCTGTCTGCTTTCGTCCATGGCCAGCTGCTCTGAGGCTGCCTGGCCCTGCGGCTACGGGATGTGTCAGCGCCATTCTAGAGCATCTGTGTGAGTTGCATTGTCTTGTGTGGGAGTCTTCAGTGCGAGGCTCCCAGCTCTGTGAGGAAGAGGGCAGGAGCAGTGTTCTACTACCTACAGGCCTGAGGCCTGTCTGAGGAGCCTGGAGGAAAGGCCTGTCACCTGAGGGTGGAGCTAAGTTAGGTGTAACCCAGGCTCAAAGCACCTGCTGCTTCTCCCAGGGCTTCTGGTTGTGCCCCTGGGTCTGGGGTGGGGATGCACGATGGGAACTGTGAATAAAACAGAAAGCATCCTCCCTCCCGCACAGAGTTGCCGGTCAAGGGGATAATGGCTGCTCTACTTGGAGCCCCATCTAGGAGAGGGTAGGTTTTTATTTTTGTTGTTGTTGTTGTTGTTTTTACCTCCCCTCTAGCTCTTACAGCTAAAGTGAAGTTTTTCAAAGGAGTTTCTCCCAGAGAAAGGATGAAGTAGAACCAGAAACAAAGAGAATGGAGGAACCTCTAGATGAAAAGTTTCTGCACCCCGAAAAGCCCCTCCGGCAACACAGCAATCCAAATCAGACCAAATCAAACCAAATTAAGGAAAAAGCCCAGGTTTAATGGGTAAAGTGCTCCTGGATGACTTTCTGACCCCCAGAGAGGAGATGAGGAGGACCACGTGTCCTGTTTTCTGGGGGACAGTTTAAATGCCCTGTGGGAGTGGTCTTGAGCATCACTGGGGGGGGGGGAGTTGTGTTTGGCAGGCCTTCTGAGAGGTGGGGTAAGGGGGCTGAGGTGGAGCTTCCACCGGAACACTGGGGTCACCATCTGATGGAACGTGGGCAGCCTTGTCGTACAGCTTCAGGAGACTAGGAAGGCTCCTTGGGCTTCTGGGGTGTTCGCAGCATTTGGGGGCCCAGCGGACCTTCGCAGTATCTGATAGTTTCCCAATATGTCACATGAACAATAGTGTCTTTTAGTGAGCTGAGCCCCCTTTGCTCTGGCCCTCCCAGCCAACAACAGTGCAGCACTTCCTGCCTGGGAGGTGGTGTCCGTGGTGGCCGCGGCCCACAACCCACTGTGCCCCAGGCGGATGATGCTGGAACCTTCTAGCAAAACCTGGAAGGGCCGAGAGGTAACTTTGTGGTTGGTGCCCACCTATCCCGAAGCCAGGGAGGGAAGCCACGGTTTCATACTTGTTCCCTACCCCCCGGGACGGCCCAGAGTTGACCTGCATTTCCCAGGCCTTCATCCTCTCTCCAGGGCCCACAGAGCACAGTCACCAGAGAAGATCTGGAATCTGGGTGTAACCATCCTGGCAGGAGGGAACTTATTCTAAAGAGGGATATTTGTGCCCCTCCCTTTGGCTATCAGATGATTGAAACAATAGTCCCCACGAAATGGAATTTCCCTGAATCTCATTCTGTGAGAAGGAAAGGCTGTTCAGTGGGTGGGTGTCAGCCATGGGGGGTGGGGGTGGGGGGTGGACAATGATGACACACTTGTCTCCCTGGAATAGACTTCTTCACACAGTTTTAATGTGTCAGACTCACTCACATACTTCTTGCCCTCTGTTTGAACCTAAACCTCATGAAGTGACCTTAAAGATGGGCTTGGGGAGAAGGTCATGAACGTTGGCATTTTTCCTCTCCTAGCGCACTCACATTGAATTAGCACTTCCCACTACTCTATTGACTGTCTTTTTCATTGGTCTGTTGAGGAGGGTGCCTGAGCCTAGCTGGTTAGGCTGCCAGGGCCCAGGCTCTGACCCTAACTCAGGTAATACGGGGAGTGAGAGAAATGACCACCCCTGGTAGTATATGCGTGCACAGGCCTGTAATCCTGGCCTTCTAGAGGCTGAGGTCAGAGGATTGCTAAGAGTTTGAAGCAAGCCCGAGCTTCATGACAAGTGCCGGACCAATCGGCACTACATAGTAAGACCAAGATCACAGGGGGATGCCGGGCCTGATCATTTGGGGGATTTAATTTAGGACAGTCTGAACTGGCATGATCTCTCTTGTGGTGGTATTTTATTGGTGCTGAAATGTGGTGAATTTTTATTTGTGCTTTAATAAATAAAGCTTGCCTAGAGATCAGAGGAATAGGAACAGCCATTGTAAGTAAACAAAGAAGTCAGGCAGTGGTAGCACACGCCCTTAATCCTGTCACTTAGCAGGCAGGAATCTGTCTGGATCTCTGTGAGTTCAAGGCCATACTGGAAACAGCCAGGTGTGGTGGCACATGCCTTAAATCCCAACACTAGTTAACCATGGAGGTCTGGAGGTCTGTACAGGAAGTGACAGAGCTGGACAGGAAGAGGAAGTGATGTAGCTGGACAGAGAGAGCCAATCAGATGACAGAACAGCAAGGCATATAGGCGTGGGTAGACAAGAAGTAAGGCATGGCATTTGGAAGCTTCGGAGTTGGTGAGGTAAGGTTAGCTGTGGCTTTCCCTATTTCCCTGATCTCTCATGTTTTC